CAGATTTGAAGTCGAATCTGCTTAGTCTGGGACAACTTCAGGAAAAAGGATATGAAATCCTTATGAAAGATGGAGTTTGCCAAATTCGTGATTCAAAACTTGGTCTGATTGCAAAGGTCAAGATGATGGGAAATAGGTTGTTTCCATTATACTTGCAGACCACAAATCTATCATGTTTATCTGCCAGATTAAAGGACACAACTTGGTTATGGCATTGCCGATTTAGACATCTTTATTTTGGTGGGTTGAAAGCTTTGCAGTAGAAGAAGATGGTAAATGGTCTTCCTCATTTTGATTCACCTTCAGAAATTTGTGAAATCTACGTGGTCAGTAAGCAGCACCGTGACAGCTTTCCTAAAGACAGATCTTGGAGAGCAAAGCAAGTGCTAGATCTGGTTCATTCTGATCTGTGTGGACCCATAAATCCAACATCCAATGGAGGTAAACAATACTTTATTACCTTTGTTGATGATTACAGTCGCAAAACATAGGTGTATTTTTTCCAGACCAAGTCAGAAGCCTTAGCAGCCTTTAAATAGGCTTTACAAGATAATATTATTTAAAAAGATAACTAACCAATCTTATCTAATCTAATTTAAATGATAACAACCTAAAACAAATAAATAACTTAAACTTCCTAAAATATAGAGATAAGGGCTAAATAATAGGATCTAATTTCCAACAATCCCTCCCTTAAACTAAAAATCTTCAGACTTTAGTTTAAAGAAATCTGGATATCACCATATCTGCAGATCTGGAATCTGCAGACCCTCCCTCAAACTGAATTCTGCATGTTGCAAATACCAAGTAACTCTCTCAATTTTGAAAAAACTGCTACTTTGAGGGGTTTTGTAAATATATCAACCACTTGATCTTCTATGCAATAAATCAACTCAATCATTCCATCTTCTTCTTTTCGGAATCCTTGATTTTTTAACACAAATGACTATATAGAACCCAAAAGCAAAAGCTGAAGGAAACAGAGCGTTGACGCTACAGAACGAGGTAAAGGCCGTACCTTTTTGTCACCATCGTCGGGAATTTTGCCAATTTTGATGATGCGCTGCGATACAGAAGCAGACCCGCCATCTTCCCCTTGGGTTTCGCCTGCCGTCGGAGGCATTTCAGCAGGCACTTCCGCTGGTGTTGGATTGGGGATTTTTTGAGGGTCAAGGGAACTGTGGTCCTCAGTTTTAATCACGAGAAATTTCTTTTTTAAAAAAGAGTTTTCCCGTACTGTTTCCACCCGTCATCTGCCACCCTGGCAAATGAGTTCCGACGAGGGGCCGGTGATTTATTTCTGCCCGAAAGCGACGTTCGGAAGTAAAGAAGAAGAAGAGAACACAAATTTGCAGAGAAAATATTAAAATTCATCTTCCATTGGTAATATACATAAATTAATATCCCACCAGAAAGAAAAAAAATCAGGAAAGCATTTCAATAGTTTCAGATTATTTTCTCTTCTTTGCTGCTGCATCGTCGTCTTCGCCGTCGTCTTCGTCTTCGCCGTCACCTTCGTCGTCGCCGTCGTCTTCGTCGTCGCCGTCTTCGCCGTCGTCTTCACCGTCGTCTTCCCCGTCGTTGACCTCCGCCGTCTTCTTCTGCTTAAGTAATTCAACAACTCCTCCAAGGGCGACATTTACATCCTCGCTCCTCAACAATTCTTCCGCAACAGAAGCAGGAGTCACCTTTGTGTACTCCAACAAGTTCTGGATTTCTTCAAGAAGAGGGTGATCACCGTCACGGAGACCAAGGTAGTTGTAGGCCAGCACCGGAAAAGCCGACGGCTTTAGGTAGGACAACTCGATATGCATATCCATCCGGCCAGGACGAAGCAATGCAGGGTCAATCTTGTCCTTGTGATTGGTGGTGAATATGATGATCCTCTCCTGCCCACAGCCCGACCAGAGCCCGTCTGTGGCGTTCAGTAGACCCGAAAGCTCACGTGCATGATGTTGAAATTAAAAAAAAAAAAGAAGAAGAAAAGAATCAGTTCCCCATTCAGAAAAATCTATATGTGGAATTCAAAATAGTTGTTAGACTAGTAATTTTTTCGTCCGTTTGAATTTGTTAAAAATTGTATTATGCATAAGATACTGACCTTATTTTTAAGGAAACGCAATTTAAGAGAGTTGTCATCTTTTGTGTTGGATCGACGTTGGGCCTTTTCATAGCAGTCGACATCCTCAATCACAATGATAGATTTGCTAGGAATGCCTAGGAAAACATTCCTCAGCCGTGAATTGCCATAAATACTGCTAAGATCCAACTCATACACATCATATTTCAGATGCTTAGCCATGGCCACAACCAGACTTGATTTCCCGGTTCCCGGAGGACCATACAACAAATACCCTCTCTTCCAAGCC